CGTCGGGTTGCTCCCCCCCCCGGTTAACGGGAGTGGAGTGGCGGCGTCGCTGCTGCTCCTCTTCCTGCTCGTGAGGGAATCTGTGGTTGGCGCTAGACTTCTCGAAAGCAGGGCTCGGGTTTCAACCTGAAACCTTTCTTAACGTGTCCAAGCAGACTTGTAGCTTTAGGACTATATTTTGCTAGAGTTTGGGGACTTCTGGTGCCTCTTTGGGGAGGGGGGAGGGCTTCTCTGAGCCAATGCTTGCTCTAGGTTTAGGCCCCAGAGGGAAGATTGGCCTCCAACAATAACGTGGAGAAGATCTCATTTGCTTTCTTTAATACTGGCAGCTGTGTGGATATCCACAGGCGAGTATCTCGGATTTAGGAAGGACAGCAGCAAGTGCTGAAACTTTGGGAATGGAAGATCTGGGGTTTGCACTGAGCAGTGTTTTCCCCACCTTCTTGTAGTCAGGACTTATTGGAGAAAATTGCTGTGGATTTTTGCCTCCCCTTACCTTTCTAGGAAGTACTTGTTCTTTCCTTTACTGCCCTGACCCCAGCTAATAATCTGGCTGGCCGGATTTGGATCTGACTTTGCATGGAGTCAGCATAAATCCAGCAGAGTTTATTCGCTTGGCTCTGGACCGTGTGTCATCTGCCGTTGCCTTGTTCTTACCAGTAGGCAGATACAGATATTTGGGGTAATAATTGGAGAAGGATTGGGAAACATTGAGTTTCTTCAGCCAGGTTGGAGGAACTCCTGTTCTTTTATCCAGCATGTGTGGTGCTGGTTTCTGATAACAGTTTTGGAGATAGTGAGTGGTTTGGGCTTCAGCTTTTTGTGTACAGTATCCTCAGTTGTGCTTGTAGCAGTCCCTTTCATGGGTAGGTTGTGCCTCTGTTGCTTACGCTTAATAGAAGTATATACTAGACATAGTGTAGGGAGACTGTGCATAGTTCAGATTATTGTATGCTTTACTTCTGTGCACTTCTAAGCTTAAAATGCAAAAGCATTGCTTCCAAGCAGTAGGTTAGTGTATGCCAGGATCTGTCTTGCCAGATATATCTCTATGGTTGTTACTCTGTTACGCGTAACTGCAGTTGCTTTTAAAAAGACACTTTTTGCTCAGCATATACTTCCTCTGTTTTTAAAACATGTTTATGCCTTGTGCCTGTCCAGTGCACAAGCATTCTTATTTGGGCGAGACAAATGCAGTTTTGCTTTTTAGTTTTCTACAAACAAAATAACCAAGGCTGGAAAGGGGGGTGGGGAACGACCCCTCAGTTCCCACAAACTCTAAGTATGTAAAATTCTTCTCAAGTGCTGTGAAAATCCACATAGCTTGGAAGAAGAGTCTTGCAGTATTTGGTGAAAGTTAACAAACTAGTGGTGTTTTTAGGCCTAAGAGAAGGGAATTTTAAAAAAGCTTAGGGTCCTTCATAAGTAGTACTCAATGCCAGCTCTATGGTGAGGGAGCAGCAGTTCAAGTCAACTAAAACACTTGGTTGAAATGCTGCAGGAGCGCTCACTGGACTTGCACTAAACCTAATTTTTGTTGTTATTTGTTTAAGACTAATTCAAATCAAGGAAGATGGCAGCAGGCCACTTACTTAATCTGTGCTTTTGTTAGCTGTGGAGATGAAGTGTCATGTGAAGAAGAGCAAGCTGGTTTCTGTGCCCTTTAATGTGTTGTTAAAGTGATCAGTTGTGTTCCAAATGTAAACACTTTTACTGCTATTGCTAGAACAAAAAAAGAGTGTTGTGGGATTTTTCAGTTCTCTGGTAGAGTTGAAGTCAGTCATAAATCCAGTCTTTTAGCTGTAAACAGAGCATGCTTGTTCTAGAGCTAGGGTTTTGCTCTCTTTCCCAGTCCTTTGCAAAGTACCTTAAATTTATTTAAATTATTTCAAGGACTTTTTTTTTTTTGAACTTTCCTCTCAGTGAAGACGTTCTTGTTAAATTAAGAAAATGATGAGGTAGAAACCTTTAACCTTGCTAACAAGTCTGATTTATTTCGTTATAGACTGATTTCATTATAGATTTCCTTCTATACGTGGTAAAAACTGCCAGTGTAACAAAACTGCTAGCTAAAGGGAACGTTGTCTTCTCAAATATTCATCTTGTGAATTTGCTAAAACAAGGTTGTGTTTATCAAGGTTTGTTACATAGCTTGTTCTCGTGGTTTGGGATACTCTAACTGGTATTGGATATTTGACACATTTATTAACCATAAAGTTGCTAAGTGTTTTGTACTAGTGTTCAGTTCTGTATATACACACACACTCTATATATGTGTGGGTTCTCTTCCTCTCCCTCGTGCTCTGTGCTTCTATGCAGTATTCTCTGCACTATATATTATACAGTGCTGGACATAGTCTTTTTGCTAGCAGAAGTACGCCAATATAGAGTACCTATGGCTATCTGGAAATTAAATCCTTCAGGCAGAAATCACTTTGACTCTGTTACTGGTCTCTGTGAAAGTACTTATGTTCAGAAAGTCATATGTATATTTTTCCTGACTTGTTACGTGCCAGCTGCATCAATCACATGTGAGGAGCACGGAGCTGGCATTTGAAAATTTAATAGTATTTGAACCTGTGTTGCACCAGCTTTGTAAAGCTTTGTGAATCTTGATGGTGGACGCAAGAGGTATTACTGGTCTGCTGTGTAATATGTGAAATGATATTTGCCTATCTAGATAACAAGTTGTACTGAGTTGTGTTATCTTCAAAAATCCTTTTTTTTCAATTCTCTTTATAATAGCATTTGAACTGAGGGTCAGAATAACATGAAAATGTTTTTAGGGGCAGATATCTAAATAAAAAGTTATATAGAAGTAGTATGGTGGTGTTTGCTTTAGAAGGGCGTTAATGGGCTACTGGTCCTTCTAAATCTCTGAGAAGACTTCAGTCTAGACAAGTGAATCTTTAATCAATCCTCAGTCCCTTAAGTGTTACATTTTTTCTAAAATGTAATATCCTGCAGTTTTCATACTGTGTTTTTTTTTTTCATTTGACAGTGCAAATATTGTCTAGATACTATTGACTTAATCCTCATAATACCCATGTGGGAGATAGGTGATGAACCTACTTTTTTTTTCCTTTTTAAATTGTGCTGTGACCCTGGTTACTGCCTGTTCATTCCCACTAACTAACAAGAATAATTGGCTCTCATTTTCTTTTTAACGCTTAGGTGTATTTTGTAGACAGTTGTCAAAAATATCCTTTCCTGCTGCAATTCTCTAGGTAGGATTTGCTAGCTCCTGAATCTCCCTTCCCCAGCCTTCTATCTGCTAAATCTTTTCTGGATAATCATGCTTATTTGAAATGATGCCTAAAGCTGGTGTAGTGCTGAGTAGCGTTTCAGTGGTGATTTGGCAGAACAGTTACTTCTATTTACTTTGTATATTATGCTCTTGTTAACCTGATTCACAAAGGCAAGTGCAGCTTTTTGGGCGAGCATTTCATTTATTTGTTTAGGGTTATACTATGATGTTATAATCAAGTCTGGAATTAGAACAGCATGCTTCTGTGCTCTGAAATATTCTGAAAGGAAGATGCTGCCTATCCCTGGAGTGCTGCTTTATTACTGCAGTTTTGTTGAAGTGAGAAAATCAAGACTGCTTCTTCCTGTTTCTTTACGTGAATAGGGAGCCCTCTATTCATACAAGTGGGAACTGTGCAATATTAGTGCAAAGAAATGAGAGGGTGCACGATACTCCTTTTTCTGTCTGTTCAGAGCAGGCTGCTATGTGTATTTTTGGCCACCATTTAATATTTTTCATTTTTCTGTGGTGTAACGTGGTGCATTTTAATATTACTCTTGCCCACTTTCTAGTTTATCTCGATTAAAATACAAAACATACACAACAGTGTGTTTGATCCATCCTAGTTCTGTATCACATAAATAATAATACTGCGTACTTTCCAAACTGCTCAGGGTAATGCAAATACTCTATAGTAATACAGATTTCTATTAAATATCACCTGCTCAGTGAACCCTGAAACATTAAAATGTGATTAGGTTTATTAGCCAACTGTGAATGCATTAGTGTATAGATTTAGTCATGTATGTTAACTTAGGCGTAGAAGAAAGCAAACGAATGGGAATTCTTTGCAAGAAGTCTCATTGGAGCTATCATTTTGTGCATTTCTAGCAGTGTTTCCTCTTTTCATGCCTTCCCATGGTGCTGTGCCTGTATTCTTCCTGCACAGCCATTGTTGATCTGCCTTTGTCTCTGTTCCCAGACTTTTCCATCCTGCCTGATCCGTTCTTGTTAAATGTTTCTAGTTGTGCCCTGTGCCTTATTGTGCCAGCAGGCTGAGAAAAACACTTTAATATCCTTGAGTCTTAAATGAGAGTACTGCCAGAACACGTTGCATCAGATCTTGACACTCATGCTTAACAAGACTCTGGTTGAAGCTGATGGGATTCCAACTTACTGACCCAATGCTGCAGTCTTGCACAATTAAGAGTTTGGGATTATTGCTCTGAAAAGTAACAGTAAAATTATTTGTAGTATTTTGTGTTATTTGGAGTTGCATTTCATGCATGCTCAAACCACAAATGAAAATAGTGTGTGTGAGTGTTGTGGGGTTTTTTGTGTTTCTTTGTTTTTTTTTTGTTTGTTTGTTTTTTTGTTTGGGCCAGCTGCTAGGTTTGTAAATTCAACAGAGACCTGGGAGCATATGTTTAAATTGCCTTATGAAGACAAACCTGAGTAAAAACTCGAATCCAGGCTTGTTAAGTGCAAACCTGTATTCGGGCATGGTCTTTGATTAGCTCCTAGTGCATGGTGAAACATGCTTTGCTCAACTGTATTGACAGTGACTGTTCCTTTGCCATTTGCCATGAGGCCTTGTGATAATGTTACTTGTTCAGTGCTGGGCAAACGAGTTGCTCCTTCCTTGAAGGAACCAAAATCATGTGAAGCAGTGGGTTGTGGGATAAGTAAGTTGCCTGAGCTTTGACTGCCCTCGGAGCAACGTCAATGTAACTTGCCTGGACAAGAACTCTGTAGGAATATACATGATATAGGCATGGAATTCTGTGAACTTCTGGTGCAAATGTGAGTTTTGTGGAGCAGATAGGGGTAAATGGGGAGGATACAGGAGGGTATTTTTCTTCCAGTTGTTGTCCTTCCAAGTTTGTTTTGATGGAGTGGGGGGGGGGGGGGAGACGGTTTGT